TTCACGTTGGATAAATCTATCAGAGGTGTAGATCTAGGGCCCACCCGTCTTTTTCGCGTTCTATAAATCTATCAGAGGTGTACCCACCTTTTTCTCGTTGGATAAATCTATCAGAGGTGTACCCACCTTTTTCTCGTTGGATAAATCTATCAGAGGTGTACCCGCCTTTTTCTCGTTGGATAAATCTATCAGAGGTGTACCCGCCTTTTTCACGTTGGATAAATCTGTCAGAGGTGTACCCGCCTTTTTCACGTTGGATAAATCTATCAGAGGTGTAGATCTAGGGCCCACCCGCCTTTTTCACGTTGGATAAATCTATCAGAGGTGTACCCGCCTTTTTCACGTTGGATAAATCTATCAGAGGTGTACCCACCTTTTTCACGTTGGATAAATCTATCAGAGGTGTAGATCTAGGGCCCACCCGTCTTTTTCGCGTTCTATAAATCTATCAGAGGTGTACCCACCTTTTTCTCGTTGGATAAATCTATCAGAGGTGTACCCACCTTTTTCTCGTTGGATAAATCTATCAGAGGTGTACCCGCCTTTTTCTCGTTGGATAAATCTATCAGAGGTGTACCCGCCTTTTTCACGTTGGATAAATCTATCAGAGGTGTACCCGCCTTTTTCACGTTGGATAAATCTATCAGCGATATACCCTCCTTTTTTTCGTTGGATAAATCTATCAGAGGTGTAGATCTAGGGCCCACCCACCTTTTTCTCGTTAGACTTCATCTCCTCCTTGATGTCAGTGATCTCTTCGTCGACGTCACTGGAGGCTCTCAGAACTGTCAGCGCTGTGGGGAGACAATTAATGGTAATTAAGACCGTAATACTGTAAGACCCTGAGAGACTGTAAGACAGTAATACTGTAAGACCGTTAGACAGTAAGACCGTTAGACTGGTAAAAATGTAAGACCGTAATATTGTAAGGCCCTTAGACAATAAGACCGGTAAGGCCGTAATACTGTAAGACCGTTACACTGTAGTACTGTAAGACCGTACGTGAGACCGTAATACTGTAAGACCAGTAATACAGTAAGACCAGTAAAACAGTAAGACCAGTAATACAGTAAGACCAGTAAAACAGTAAGACCAGTAGGACTGTAAGACCGTAATACTGTAAGACCTTTAGACAGCAAGACCGTAACACCGTAAGACCATAAGACAGTAAGACAGCAAACCCGTAACACCGTAATACTGTAAGACCCTTAGACAGTAAGACCATAAGACCAGAGGCGAAGCGTTTATATAATCAAATAATCACTGCTTCCCTTCCTAATTTTGAAACATTGTCGCAGTCAAATTCACCCGTAGACGTAAT